GACTGCCAGGTGCTGCTGCTCCATTCGGAGCAACTGAGGGATGCAACCAGGTTCTGGCCAGTGCTGCTGAAGCTAGTCTGATGTCTGAGCACCAGTGCAGCTCCACCTTTCATTGAACGATTGTTACCGCTGAAGGTCATCGGCAGTAAATGCAAAAGAAAATCTATGATGGCTTTTCAAACGCAACTGAGCTGCACATCCCACACTCACCTACAATTTTTACAAAGAGGACGTTTGTTCCTGTGGGGCCGTACGTTGTTGTCCTTTCAATGACAAATGTCAACGTTCTCAGTGTTGCCAAACAATTGGGAACTAGACCTTACAGGTATGTTGGAGTTAAGGTCAAGAAAAGCTCCAGGTTACTGGTTAATTTCACTGGCATTGACATATGTACTTTTCCCCATATTGTTCCAGAAAAAAAATTGTATTGGTTAATACTGTGATGTGTAAACGCATCTTTTTGGTATTTAACAGAGGACTCTCCTGTCGCCCCTCCTCCTCTCACATCCTGTCTACTTCTCCTTGTCTTCTCATCATTACCTCTATAGCCGTCCTCCATCCTCTCTGTGTTTCCCTTGTTAGAGGTAAATTCAATGTGTCCTTGTCGGCTTTAATCAAAGCACCCACACATTGAATTTAGCAGGTACGTGTGGAAGGTTAAGGTGGTATTCTCAGGATGGGGAAACAAAAGACGGTGTTCTTTGTGCACTTACTTATCCGTGCGCCTCCTCGCTTTGAATACGACTTAAGGCCATTGTAAACAGCCTCTCTGCAGCTCACTATCGTGTCACAAGCCAACTCTTAACTCTAACTAGCCTACAATGTTACTTATGGAAAAGGTCACCAATCTCCCCGATGCCTTCATGTCCATTGACTACGTTTCTAAAGACATTTGTAACCCAGAGTTAGAGAGTTAGATGAACGTAATCTCTAATGGGTTGCGCTATATAGGACAAGCTGAAAGATTAGAGCTCAAAAGTTTGTTGTTTCATTGTGGTTTTATCCGAAGTGGGCGTCTTGGAGAAAGTTTAAGGGATTAATCAGATCACCTACTTTTACGCAATAGCTGCCTCTCCATTCCCTTCAATAGACGCCGTTACTACAAGATACTGTGTTTACGTTTCTTCCGATGAAACAAGTTTATTCAAAGCTGAAAATCCCCAGAAATTGGACCTCATCAGCAATCCCCCACTAATCTTTATTTGTCTAGTCTAAATGCAGACAGACACACAGACAGAAAGCTGCTGTTTCTTGTGCCACGGTGCCTACTCAGTTTGGTTGGTGAATTCAGAACACATACGTGGCAGCACACTGGTTTTTACTACAATATACTGTATACAGTGGAGAAACATTCTAGTTAGTGGAAGTGAGCAGCATTTTACAAACCAAATTGAAGAGTTTTATTTCCGTTTTTTCCCAGCTATGAACACTCAGAAGACATTCTGACATGGATATGAAGACGAAGGCGATGTGCTCTCGGAGATTAGATACAGTAAGATTACTTAAAACCACGATTTCATGGTTTTGTTCAAATCTTGAAAACAGAAAAATGAGAATGCAGCTTTCCTGGACTAAAATTCACAGGTTGGTGGTTCTAAAGTTCACGGCGAATGAATAGAAACAACTCTCTGGTATCACAAATAAACTTCAAATGAATTCAAACCCACACACCCAAATCTAACCAACTGAAACACTGCAACATTCAATAAATAGCAGAATCCTCCCCACTTTACAGACAGATTACTTATTAAAAGAAACGTATTCAAATGAAGTACTTCATGTACGAGGGAAGATGTTTTGCGGAGACGATTCTTCCCTGTGGCTTCTTCTTCTGTTTTCTACACGCCGCCTCAACGGGAGCCTGATTCACAGCACTTCTCTTCCACTTCTCCAATTCTCCACTGCTCTCTCTCCCTCTCCCTCTCTCTCTCTCTCTCCAAGGCTCTACCTCTATTTTTGATTAGCTCTTTATTTGCGCCCACCCCCATCATTGCCTCCCACCTCCACCTTTTCTAAACAGTTCATCTCCGACATCAGTAACCTCTCCGTGTCAGACCGCCCCCCCCCCCCACCCCCCCGGCTCTTTTTTTTTTTAAAAGTCCGATGAGAAACCATCTAACACATGCTGATCAGGTGTTGTGAGTAGCGAGTTGCGGGCCCGGTCTCTCGGGGTCGGCTTAATGGTATCTGTGCTGGATTTCTCCTTGTACCCCGGCCTGTCGCTCGCTGGGCCGCGGCGCTGCCTTTGCTCCAACCGTCGACTGGGCCCTTTCATGGTTACACCTATAACATACTACTGTGCTCGTCCAAAACAGTACACTCAATGCTACAGGATTTACCAGGTCGGAAGTATATTTACATGCATTGACTTAGTTGATGCATGTTTTTATTTCTGTGGTTAAATTGGTAAGCAGTACGTTTACCAAAGTCTACAGATTATTTCTGTAGACATAATACCTCAACAGATTTAAATTAGAGTTGCACCAACCAATGGGGCAATGTTCCGCTTTTCTTTTTACATACTTGTGCCATATTGCTGTGATGTTTTTTAAATCAGACATGGCCAAGAAAATTGCAATTGGTGTATCTCCAATTTAAATATTTGCATATTGTATCCATGCACACCTGTGGTGTGCTAATTTGGTCCAACTTAAAGAAAGGTACTAAAGGTGATACACAGCTCAATGTCTCTGCCCTTTCCAAGTTAAATTTCACCTTGAACGAACTCAGTGGGTGATTATTGATTAAATTGTTATACAATAATGAACTGGATTTATCTGAAAAGAGGGCAGCCGTGCAGATGGGGAGAGTTTTTTCAATGGTCAGGCCAGACCTTGAAAGGGTTACTTGTATATTATGGGATAGTACAGGACACCTTTTAGGAGAGGAAGAATAAGAGGAGAGAGGAAGGTGTTTTCTCATGGATCTCATTCAGTGTGTAACGTAGTCCAAATGTCTTTAATGCAGTTAAAAGGTCACGGTAGATTTTTTTTAGATCAAGTTAGTAAAAATGGAGTCTGACCAAAACCAATTATGTTACCCAGAGGATGAATCCTAATGACTTTGGTTACAGAGCGCAGCCTTGATTAGAGAATGTTTCTAACGCTAACAGGCCAGAGTGAGATGATGAACATTGTAAACAAATGGCCAATGTTAAACACAAGCATATAAACATTTTCTGTATGAGCAGTCAGCATTTTGTACAGCCTTAAAAAGAGAAGATAGGAACAAAAAAAGAAACACATTTTTAGTTTTATAATAAAGCTTTTTCATTCATATTCTCAATCGGCTCCTTTGACAAAACAGCGCTGGACGAAGATCTTGCATTGATATGTAAACTACTTTACATAATACATCTTATATGTATTCTACATGTATCTCATAAAACCTGGATTGTCCAGGCATCACAGAACAAATGCAAAACAAGTGGTTCCAATATCCTTCTGTCCGTAGAACAAAGCTGTAATATTACAGCATTTCATCATTGTTATTTTACATTTATAAAGTCTGAATATTAGCAGTGTTGAGCCACCAAGAAGACTTTTTCACACGTCAATTACATGACTATACCACGAATGGCACTAAATAAGCAGGTCTCAGTTAATCGATGGACTAATTTCAGGTGAAACTTTCCACACAGCTTGCAATAAATACTGGATAGTAGACATCAAGCACAACGCTCTGCTCATCGTTCATCATTCTCACTCTGCTTAGATGCCGTCTTTAGTTCCGGGGAGGAGGGAGGGAGGGAGGAAGAGGAGGGGGGACTCTCTAAATTGTCAGTTTCTTCCTCAATCAGCCATGAAAGTATGTGTGTGTTATCACGCAGAGGAATGCTGCAGAGGTAGCACATTCAGAAACAAATGAAGAAGGTTTATTTTTCATTAAATGTTGACATAGAAAGATTAAATCGCGTAGTAATATAACAAGAATATAACAACACACTGCAGCCGAGAGCACAATATCAAGGGGATTTTATATTTTTAATTGTGCTAATCTGGGTCGTGGCACATTTTGCTTTTCCGAGAAAACAGGAAGTTGGCAGCACATCACACAAATCACTGTGGAAGTTTTGCTTTCAAAGAGGAAATACATCAGAGACAGTCACCTACTACTGTAGATTTAACTTGAAAGGTTTGCATACATGGCGGTGATGTGAGATGTTACAGTAGCCTTAACCCCAACGCTCTTAGGGCTACTGCACAAATACTGCACAAATAATAAATGTAGTCATGAAAATAACCAGACAACACTTCTCAGTTGATTCATCCAAACAACATGCAGCAATTTCTAAATCTATCGACTGGATTTTCCTCTTTTACCCCCGTTGGTGGTGTTTGTGTGTCTGTCACCTTCAGGATGGTGCATAAATCAAATGAATACCTTCAAGAGATAAATCTTACCTTATACCCAAACTGGCCATTATGGCAGTAGTTGTGTGTGTGCACTACTGATTTCTTCTAACATCTGTTTTTTTTTGTGGAATATATGCATGATTGTTGCTTGGTAATTCATTACTGAAATGTGTGCATATGCATTGACCATGAACTCCAGATTGTGCAGATGCACAATAAACCAGAAGGATGGTTTTAGCCAATTTAGTGTTCCTGCAAGTCTCTGCTTAATTATCTGTTTGGGAAAGCAAAAGCCCCATTAGGTGTTTGGAAAGTAAATACCGCTGGCATTTTTCTTCAATACCTTGTTTCATTGTGACTCTGCTGGACTAAGTGCAGCGGCTACAATTGGTCAGTGTATCAAAGTAAAGCTGCAAGAGGTGGCTTCCCAAAAAAAAAAGATAAAATAAAAAAATAAAATGTGATGTTGATGTTGAATGAAAAAACGATACATGTGTCTAATTTATTGTGTAAATGTAAATCTCATTTCCCTCCTTTTCAGTTGTTTGATGAAAATGAAACCTTTTAATTTATAGCCAAATATGCCCTGATGTGATCTGAGAAAAAGAACAAGCAGAGAAAAGGAAAGCGATAGGGGTGTCTCACCTGGTCTTTTATCGTTTCGAGCTTTTCGACCCCCGCAGAGTCGTACTTTGGAGATCAGGACCAGGATCTGCTTCTGGCACAGCGACTTGTTGCTCTTGGGACAGGGCTTGCGCTTGTTGGCTACCGGTCGGTTAGCTGGGTCCTCCTTCACCGCCCGTTTCTGTCTAATGAGTGAGCTGGCGAGAGCTGCCATCTTCCCCCCCTCTCACCTTTTGGGAGGGGGGTGTTCTTTGTTCCCAGTATCCCCCCCTCCCCCCCTTACTGGTTTGGCGTTTAGCTTTCCTCCAAAAACTAGAGTAGGACAGACGGTCCAGAGAATCCCCCACAGGGGAGATCGGGGCGTTTAAATGGGTTAACAGGGAAGAGTTTAGTTGGAGGGTTCCCTTGGAGAGTAAAGAACAGGATGAGTGGCACGTTCACCTGCAGCCCATTAAAAAGCCTTCACTCTGACCAAAAATAAAAATATATGACCCTAACAGAGCACACGCAACTCTGCCACAGTTACATTTTCATTTTTTTTGTAAAATAACAGAAAGACCAAGGCTAGAGTGACGGACTTTCAGAAAGGTTAAATCATCATTTTCTACCCCTCCTCCCCACTCATCTTACACATTGAATTAAACCTCAATAGCCAAGTTCCAAAAATATATATAGTAAAATAACTAACCTATCCTCTGACTGCACAACCCCAAAAGGAAGCAGCCGAAATGATTTTACATATAAAAACGCTTTTACTGAAGAAAAGTGAAGTCATTTTGAATGCTAGGAAGCATTTAAAAGCGCAAGAAGAATCAAACTGTTTGTCACCATTCGTGCAGTCCACGGAGGTCCAACTTTGCCTCCCATTTAAATGTGGCAGCGCGGAATAATAAGCTGAGAGTCCGAGTCGTAATCCAGCTGACTTAATTCCAGAGGCAGAACAGCAGGAGGGACATCGGCGGTCTTTGTAGGAATGAAGCCGGGAACAGAACAGAGACATGGACACAGACAGACAGAGAATCCTCTTCTGCCTCCAACGGCACACTGCTTTCCCACAGTCCTCACCAAACCCCCCCTCCCTCCTCCTCCTCCTCCTGCTCCTCCTCCTCCTCCCATCCAAAGTCAGCGAGTGGTTGTGAGAGTATGTGTGCGTGAATTCCAGCAGCCACCATCAGTAGAGGTGACATTCATGAGCGAGAGAGAGAGAGAGAGAGAGAGACGGGGGCAGGAGGGGGGGCGGAGGCTGTGATGTGTGAGAATGAGCTTGACTGGGAGAGTGAATGAGTGAGAGACGGGCAAGAGACACTTTACAACAACAACAACAAAAAATCATTGCATGCAAAGGCTACAATTTTGTTATTTGCAACGACCCCCTTAAAAAAAATATGAAAAACTCAATCCTTCTGGCTGCTCTTGTGAAACAGAGAGACGGAGCCAGAGGGAGAGAGAGGGAGAACGGGGGAGGGGGGGGGGGGAGGCTAAGGTGCAGATTGTGACAGTTCTCTGTCTCCACGAGAGGAAAGGCATCACCATGTGTTATCCACACACACACACACACACACACACACACACACACACACACACACACACACACACGTTCATTAATTATCTCTCCCGTACTCCTCTTCATTCCATCAGTGACACCGGCTCACACAGCAGTAACCTCCACGCTCCGTCTGTGAACTGTTTCCTTGAGCTCTTCGCACGAGATGGAGGAATGAAATAAAGTGACTTTATTCCCTGGCATTTTGCGTCCGACATATCTGGATGCCGGCTCACGCTAACCCCGACAGGAGCAGGAGCTCGGACAGATTGAGATGGACAGCTACACACAGACACACACTCAAACCCATATCAGCCTTGCTCTCCCTCAGCCTCAGCTCCCCCACCTGCAAAATACACATAACAACAAACATGGATATTTTCGCCTTGTGTGTTTTTGCAGCTGCCTCATTTGTTCTACTTGCATTTAGATACTTTAATAATTTAGAAACTTACACAAGTATCAGTAGAGAGCACAAATCATGCTGACATACTTTTGCAGGAAATAGCGGGTTCTAAAGACAATGGCCTGCAGTCAAGCATTTTCTCATCTCGTGTTGCAACAAAAAACCAATCTTTGTGCTGACCATTTTCATTCTGCAAAACAACCGGATTTCAGACAAATGGGATATTTGGAGTAGTGCAGTTCTTAGCAAGTCTTACCAAATATGAGAAGTTTTATATAAAATGAATTTATTGAGGGATGTTTAATATCAGGCCCTGTACTATTTTGGCTAAATGTCAAGCAGATGTTTGTGTTGTGTGATTATTTATACACTTTCTGCACGAAGCATGTCCATCTTTGGTGTTAGAGCACACTGATGCATTCATTAGCTTGGTAAATAAGAGCCATTATGTCAAAAATATCCTCATTAAATGCCATGAATTGTCTGTACAACTGTACATGAAAACATTCCGCTCCCCCGGACTCAAACCCGATAAATCAACTCATCTGAGAGCTAATCGATCCAATTTTATTTGTCGTGGCATCTCTTGTAAGAAGCCGATTGCCGGTGAAAACAGCAGCGGGGGCAAGGTCGATTCGAATCGTTTCCAACAATGCCGAGCAAGGTCACTGTCTGTCGGGGCTTGACTGACAGGTGACAGCGGATGTCCGGTCTCCGCGGAGCGACGAGGGCGCAGAGGAGGGGGAACCACTGATGAGATAATGCAGTTTGTATCGACAAACAAACAGAAAAGACGTTTTTTCTGCTGTTCTTTTCTTTTCTTCCTGCGTTCTCCAAACACTCTCAGCCGTGCACTCGCCTTCGTTCTCTCCGGTTCGGGAATCAATCTCCTAATCGACCAAAAACGTTGTTCTCCATTTCACTTTCTCCACTACACGGAGAAAGTTGCACCAGAAGAAAGCTGGGGATTCTTGGGACAGTAGACGAGCTCAAGGTTAACAAGTGTTTCCATCGTCATAATGAAATTTCCTGCCAAAATCTAAGTGGACTCATTAAGAGAGAGACCAGTTTTTGTGTCTTCCTGCGAGCTTTCACCTGTATGAACGCACCGCAACTATCAACCAAACACCCATTATGTCACAACTCTATGTCACTGCCATTAGTTATGTCCTATTTATTACCATATGAATGTTCATCTTTTGTCTTGCTCGTGCATGTTATACTATATACAAGTATAGTCATGAAGCCCTCCATAATGAGGCTCCCTCCACCTCACCCAGCTGCTCCACCACCTCCCTTCACCCGCCACTCACAACTGCTTTTACCGTGAACAAAATGGTGTGTTTTGTGATGTATATCTTTCTTTTTTACATCTGGTCATTTTAGTATTTAGTGTATATTAAGTACTATGAAAAGTGCCATACAAATAAAATGTATTATTACTGTATTTTGTGCAGAGCAAACACTTGTTTCAACAAGGTTCTTAAAATCTAATCATGTTCAGGATTTATTGTGCATCGCCCCCCCCCCCCCCCCCCCCCCGCAAGGAGAGAGAGATACACATAGCGGAAGCAGCCTCCTCTGACCAATAGACAAGCAAAAACGAGAATCTATCTTTCTCCAACCTTTGCCCATGCCTTACGTCCGGGTATCTTCTAGCATCATCTGAGTGACCACACCGGGGGATTAAATGCAGAGATTTTTCTAAAAACAATCCATCTGAAAATCCCTGCACGCATTTCCATTCACATGGAAGCCGAGGGTATTAAAAGTTCATCCGCTTTGAAAGTGCTTTACATTGACATATTTTTTTCCTGGTATTGCGGTTTCTACGTGTTTCTGCATTCTGTGTTACCTAATGAAACCTTCCATAATCTTTACCAGGCTAGTGAATAGACGTTGGAGTTGAAAGATTCTGGACTTTTGCTTGATGAATGTTTGATTTGCATTTACTCAACTGGCGCAACTCCACTTTACATAAATATTTCAACTTTATACTACTTCATACTACCTTTTAAGTCATCTACCAATGATTGAACAATTACCGCCACATTTTGCATTATTAGTTTTCCGGATTTGTCTGTCGGGTAATAAGAAGAAGGTGATCACATGCTTTTGTGGAGCAGAATCAAGCTTTAGTCTTTGTTTTTTTTGTTGAATAAAAGACCAAGAAAACAACCAATGAACACTATAATAATCAAGTACACAATTGCTTTTGATTGTGTTAAGGGTTCAGAAAGCCCTCGAGGGAGGCCTCACTCCTTTGCTCTCGGCCCGGCCGGAAACGAAGAATCAAAAGAGTCACCTTGCTTAAATTCAGAAATTAAAAAAGTATTTAATAACTAAACAACGTTATAAGGAATACAATTACAAAGTGAAATACACAACGAACAGTAAAATATTTTGCGAAATAGAGAATTCTCTGAGCAAGTCTAAAGTGACTTATCAAAGTGGCTGCAGGAAAATTCTAACAGTCCTTTCCCCGCTTTGGTCCTTTGCAAACTGTTTTGTGTGAAAACTGTTTTGTGTCTTCTTGGGTGCATTTGAATGTCATTGGCTTCTCCTTCAATGTGTCTCCTCCTGGACTGTCCCTTTCACGTCGAGGTGTGAAGCTGCAGCTGTAACCTGAAACCGCTCTGTCCTATCGGTCCCTCACATTCCAACACATTCAATGTAGATACATTTGGCTTTATGCCTCAATGAGTGAATTTAACAAAGCACGCATTGTTTAAGTCTTCATCTTATAACTAGTACACTTTAATTACAACACATCATAAATGATCTAACATCTCATCACACTACATCATAAGATCCAATACAGTTCATGTGGTCCAATTCTCAAGACATTTGCCTCAATCGACTGTCTTACATTCAGTTGTTCATTTACTACCTGACAGGAGAAAAAACTCCCCAAAAAACCCTCTTTGGGGATAAAATTGGGAGAAATCCATAAAGGACGGCAATTAGCATCCGTCCCCAGGTTTTAACATCACATTGTGACAGAATGTTGATGTGTACAATGTTTATATGATTTAAATGACTATAACCTGTGTTTGATTCAAATTGCATTCACTTCATCTAATATGCTAATGTCATAACTAATATCTAATAGCGCACAAACTACAATTCTAACACTAAACATTATTACACGTATTATAATTTCCACCACTAGGGGTGCACTTCTTGCTTAAATCCCTAACAATTGCTCCAAATAAAAATAATAATTTATCCTCCCTCAAAAATCCTGAAATACTCAATGTTCATTTATATTTAAATAGCACCATGGCTGCTGCAAGGTGTCCTCCAAACCAGGTCCCTTATGCCATGATATGATCTACCGATCCTTCATGTTTACGTAAACACACACAAAGCCAGAAAGAGTTGAGCACGTGGAAACAAACGGCCTAGTTCTGTCACTGTCTTCCTCCTTATCGCTCTCTCTCTCCTTCAGTCCTCTCTCAGCTCGTTACGCTGTCCACAGATGACAGGAGGTATTCTTCGTTAATCCCTCGTTATTATGCGACCATGTGGAATTTGACCGAGGCCCGCTTCTTGCATACAAAAATAATATTTCCAATGTGCATGACCCCTGGATGAGCTGCTTATTAACTGAGCAGCACATTTCGTATCACATATCAGTCTTGACATTTTTTAACTAATGCCAATCATGTCTTTGAGTAATGCATTCATTTAAAAAAAAACAATCTATTGATAATTATCAATCGTTGTTGTCATTTCATAAAACTATATTCTGAAAAATAACAATTATAGCTGTTTTAAGATTTAATTTAGTCCTAAGAAACATCAAATTTTGCACTCAGCCAGAGAACCCTCTATTCATCTGTTGTTTACGTACAGCTTCGGTCTCTGTTCTCTTCATTACGACCATTTTACTCGAAAACCCATTCGAAAGTTCAACTTTTCCAAAGTTCTTGTGTATCAGCAAACTGTAAGAATTAACAATCAGGAAAACAAACTCAACTCTTCCACATTCGATTAGCAAGTTGGGTGCTTTCTTTTCCCGTTGCCTTCATCTCCACTGTTGCCTGAGGTAAAATCTCAGCAAGTGAATCTGCAGGATTAAACTTGCCTTTCTCAGAGCGAGTAAAGATTGCTC